CGCTCGAGAGGAACTGGTAGCGATGATGAGATTAATAATTTGTTAAAATGTAATTTCAGAAAATCCAATACAAGAAATAAATGGTAGTTAATCCATTTAAAAGAATGAAGAGAGCCTATTCAATATCCATACAAATTTGAAACAACAAATCACTGTGAAGTGTACTACATTGAGGTATTAGCGTCTTGAAAAATCTGAGAAAGGAAATACCGAGAATACAAATTGTGAAAGGTTTATACTTTTAAAAAACATAAATCAACGTTAAGGATAAAAACTGTGCGGTTAATTAATCTCGTAAAATTTTGAAAGAATATTAATAAAAGGTTGTAAGATAATCAATAATTTTAATAAATTAAAAGATAGAAAATGTGTTAATATATTATTAATCTAATCAATCTAGTGGTAGGAACATATACTTTACTTAGCGAAAGTTAATGTTTTCAGATTAAATGTAATATTGTTTTTTATTAAAGTTAAAGACTTCTATAAACAATTTCATTGATAATGCATTTTCGTTAAATAATACAAAACTTATTCTATTATTACAGCTCACCCACACGTGTTAATAAATCAACGCATTTTGTTTCGCGGATTACAGATTTTAATAAAGTAAACGTATCCTCCTATATTTATTAATTCAGTCTATTTGGTGTATGAGCAACGATAATTAATATTTAACTTCTCAGAGTTTGATTGAAGGTTGTTATCGAATAAAAATTACAACATGAACGAATTTTCAAAGGTATCAGAAAAATACTTTATTTCCAATACTCTTCTGATAGGTGTCACAAAAATATCATGGCATTCCATAACCCACTGAAGCTTCAAATTTTTTGAGTTATTGAATTGAACAAGACCAGAACAACTGGCATTTTTGTCGCTGCTGATATTCGGCAGACATACATGTCATACCCACATGTAGATTCTCACATACAGTAGAATCGTGATATCGAAAGATGTATGTATTAAGCGAAATGTGTCAACTCAGTTTAAATATGCATATTTTTATATTCTTATGAAAACATTTTTTTTCTTTTTTACAACTATAATCAGATATCACAAATAACATGTTGAAACAGTCATAAATAATAACCATATTAATTTGATAAAGTTAATATCATGATAAATCTAACACGTTTCTTATAATTGTAATTTCGACTTTATTTTTGCAGTTTTGGCAATAGATATTATTTTTTAAATTACCGTTTGTGAAATAAAATATATAACCAGTAGAGTCATTCGCCTCGATTTGTGGTTAAGTGTTATCTCGTTTAGGAATATCTGAACAAATCAACCGATTTTCAATGAAGATTAAATGTAGTCACCCAACACCATGACAAAACCTATTTTTTTAAACTACATTACACATACATATATATTTATATATTTGTGTACATATAATAGGTTTTAATAACTTGTGTTATAATTCTTATAACATTTGGATATGTAAGTCCTATTTTAATAAACATTAATTAAACTTTGTTGTTTTGGTCAGTTTTTCACGATGTTCGCAGCTTTGTGATTGTAAATACGGTTCCTAAACCAAATGATTGAACGGATGCGCTTATCGGAGCACACATATCTTATATGAGACGTATTTCTACAAGAGTTAGACATGAGAAATGTAAATAAATACGGCATACAAATAACTAAGTAACCAATTATCTAGAAACAAGATGAAAGGAACAGCGAGATTTTGCTGAATATGAACACATCTGTGTAATTTAGGGGATATAGCCATATGTTTACAGAGATTCTTGACAGGTGAACTAAGGTTGTAAAGGGAGAAAAAAAGATAAAAACGCAACAATGCATATGTTACAAAAGTGGTTACAAAAAAGAGAGATTTTAACAAAAGTTTACTTACGATGAATAAAGTGATGTAACTATAGAAATAAATGGGTATGTGTTTAGAGAAATTTAGTATAAAAAAACATGTACACTGAGAAAACAAGAAATTAAGGATGAAATAGTACGAAAATTAGAGCATGTAAGAGGATAAGGAGAAGATAAAACTCCTGGTACTGAAGAACTATCGAGAGAGATGTAAAGATGTTTATATTGTTCAAAATCAGGATGGGGTACAGTTTTAAGTCAACGTAAACAAAAGCGAGAAAAAGGGGAGTACTTGAGAAGATAATGTTAAAAACAGATTGTTTTCATAAAGTCAGCAGCCGATATAACCTTTAACATAGGAAATGGTTGTCATGGAAACCAAGCTCTGCGCAGATAGAAAATACTACAAAGTTGTATCGTCAGTAAACACCAATCAGCTATCAGTGTTGCTACTGTGCAGTTGGCAGTGTTAACCTCCCGGAGGAGAACATTCTTACTCAAGAGGGCTTGAGAATCGAAGGCGCAAGAAAAGAGGTGAGGAGCAGACAGCACAAGGGGACAGGTACAAAGGCATATGCGTGTATAATTAATTTAAACATCTCCATAAACCTGTTAATTTTGTTAAAGTTATTAATTGAAAAGGTACTTTTTTGTTGTTGTTTTTCCTTTAAAAAGCTTCTTCATCCCAAAGTTACACAATTAAAATTTTGTACGGAATATTCTACTTAACACGAGCAATTCCTAGGATATACTTCACTAACATTTGTGCATATATTTATATAACATACATAATAAAGTCATCAGCATGACAACGCATGCAACACTCTTGCCATCATGCTATGAAGAGAGCGATTATTCCACGCTCAATCTGTCACTCACGACAGATATATCGAACTGCAGCTCTTTTTGGGATACCTCAATTAAAACGGAAAAGATAATTGCATATCAAGACCCAACATATTATTCACTGAATTACCGTATTATAGGGACTATTTTTCAAGGCGTAATATTTCTTGTAGGCGTGCTGGGTAACATTATGGTGGTAATAGTTGTAACCAAAACTCGAAGCATGCTCACCCCTACTAACTGTTACCTCGTCAGTTTGTCCCTAGCTGATCTCTTGGTCCTGATGGCTTCTGTACCTAACGAAATCTTATCTTATTACTTACTAGGAGACGAGTGGATCTGGGGTCGAGCTGGGTGTATTATCTTTATATTTCTTCAATATCTAGGGATCAATGCTTCGTCCCTGTCTATCACAGCTTTCACGGTGGAACGGTACATCGCCATCTGCCATCCCATGAAGGCCCAGATGGTTTGTACTGTCAATAGAGCCAAAAAGATCATCATCGGGGTTTGGGTGTTTGCCTGTCTCTACTGCTCCCCTTGGCTTTTTCTCACGAAGACTGTACCCATCTATTATAAAGGACACGAGAACATGGAGACCTGCACCTTTGCTCTATCCAGAGAACATTACTTGGGTTATTTCTTTGCTGATTTGGTGATATTCTACATTTTCCCATTGCTATTGTCCTGTGTACTCTATGGGCTAATAGCAAGAATCCTCTTCACTAACAGTTTGGGTGAAGACTATGGGAAACGAAACGGAGTGAAAACCTCAGATTGGAAGAAGACTAATAATAACAGTGCTCGAGTACAGGTGAGACAAAAGCAAGACCTATTTTATTGTCATAAGTCAACTTCGGGTGCAAGCTAAATATGTATATATATATATATATTGAGAGTAGTTAAACATTTTTAGTCATTCAAATTATTTATAATGATACTACTTCTCGAAAACCATTATTCTCTCAATAGATGAAATCATTTGATTTATATAAATGAAAGAGATCAAAACACAAAAGATAAAAATTCAAACGAATAATACAAAATTCTGTATTTTCTCTTTTTTAGTTAAATCCTTAATGAGACTGGCAGCGTAGCCTCCTAATAATACATTAAACTTATTTGAAAACCAAAAAATAATAGTTAATTCATCAGAAACAAACAGCACCTAATAATTTGCTTTGCACCCTAAAATCACTTTTAAATGCTCTTTAAACATCACTTATAGTATCAAAAACATTTTACAAACTATCTAAATCTGAAACAAAATGCTTTAGCGCTTAACATATTTCATCCAGAATACCTCGAGTTTGAAGTGTCAAAGAAACGATCGTTGCAGAAAATGTTGAATGACTTTTTTTTGTATTAGTTAAAACTTTCTATTTCAATTTACCAAACCTAGTTTTATGCTTCTTCTATAATTGACAGTATTAAACTAATTTACTAATTTGTTCACTTTACTAAGCTTAGTGAAAAATATTTTTCCTGTTTCTAGACAATAAAATTTGGAAATTATGTAATTTTGTCAAGATACAAGGTATGCACTTTAGCTTTTTAGGTTACGCCACTTCGAAATTTTTTAAATTTCTTATAGCAAGAATTTAAGCTAATTGAATCATTTTAATAAAACCTTAAAATAGAAAAAAAAGATAACATTGCCTATCTAAAAATATTTCTAAAAAATAAAAATACAGTGATGTAATAAGATTAAATATCATTGTTTACATCTATTGCAAACAGCCCCAAATCTTTTTATCAACAACTATTGCTGGAAGTTTTGAAGCTCCAGTTTGCTGTATTACAAATATCTTGATCTCATTTAGTTGATGGTCTTTTAATATGAGTTTTTCGTGAAGCAACCCTTGTTGTTACACGCAGTACTAAGACAGAAATATATATTATGTGTTTATATTTTGTATTATGCAGTTTCGGAATAGTTTAACGTATTCTGAGTCGTTTATTAATACCTAACAAAAAGGGTTGGATAAAATATTTCATAATGAATTCCTTATCAGGAAGTTGAGGATCAACCAGAAATAAGTTAATAATAAGTTTTTCTAGTCCTTTTTTTTTTGCTGTTGTATTAATAAATGAATGTGTTACTTAAAATTGGTCATTTTAATATCTTAAGTGTCCAGATTTAGTTTTTTATTATTATTCAGAAGCTGAGATACCCGTCCTTTGATCGGGTTATGAACTTTAAAAAATGTAGGGGTGGTGGCTATGATAAATAACACAAAAATCCTAGCTTTCACACAGTTTATTTATAACATAACGTATTATGTCAGTATTCATTATTACCTCTCCCAAAGTTTGGTATACACATTGTATACACTGTGCGATGGTCAGGGACAAACTAGTGTCGTTAGGAGTGCTTTCTGGTACCCGCTTTCAACACACAGCTCTTCATGTCCTTCCACACTGTTTCACGTTATTAATTAATTTACGGTCATTGGCCGTAGAAGTTTCTTACGAGATGAAGTTGTAAGGTCAAAGGTCAAAGTAGGAAGTGGGTATAACTCAAGAAACGGCTCCTCGTATCAGTGTTATGATGGCTGTTGTAGTAGAAATTTAATCTGAGTTTATGTACTAGTGCAATAGTGGGGGCCATTTTTGTTCATTGCATTCCTACATAAGGAACATTGGTTGAGATTGGCCCAACGACCTAGGAGTAGTAAGTTAACAGACAGACAAACACGCAGATTATTCTGTTTTTATAAAGAGAGATAATTACTTTTGTATTATTGGAATATTCATAGCGTAATTTTCATTTTACTGTAATTGAATTGATGTGTTAGACATTCTTGTCAGAATTATATAATGCATATAATTGTAAACTAGAGCTTTGAAACAGGTTTATAAAGAATTACATCATTTCTGTATTTGTCATTTTCTTTAATAAATATTAGATCAAACTTTTGGTAGCAAATGGATATTTATATGCTGAAAATGTTATACATCATAGCCCATACTGAAGTCGTCTCTCGAGACTTTTGATTTCTAAATGAAAATTGTTCAAGTAGAGAGAAAAAAGACCTTGTTGAAAGTAGAATACAATGGACGAAGTTTAGTCGAAATGTCAGTGTAACGCTTTTCTTAGCAGGTAAATAAAGATGAAATTGAATAACAGTGTTATCATATCACAACTGGTGACCAACTCAGATATAAACTATTTCAAATTTGAAGTATAGCATTTGTCGCTGTCACTAAAATATGGTTAAAAAAATTGGTCTCAAAATTGGGTATTTATTATTCTTTAAAAAACGTATTAAACTTTAGTTATATTTATTTCTTACAAGAACCTTAACAGTTAAATTGAAACATCGGTATATAGATTTGTTTATCAATATAATGCGTGATTTCGAAATCCAAAAAAGAAGATATACAATCGTGTCTAAAACAAGCTCTTTAAGTATATTAGACTTGTGTTGTATTCTGACAGCAATGGACTTAGCGTTTTGTGTAGGTATGAGTTCTAAAATAATTTATTCTGTGTATCTTTTACAGTTCTAAATACATGAAATATATATTAATCTTGTTACGAGCTTAACCCTATGATTTTTTTCCACAAAATAATGAAGGTTTAGGAATATCATTAAATTGTTTATTCAGACATTTCGCGTTAATCTACACAAAGGCGTACCTGATCATAACCCTCCCTAATTTTGAACTGAAAGACTAAACAGAAGGCAGTTAGTCAACAGCACCCACCACCAACTCTTGGGAGACACTTGTCTGACTGGATGTTGATTTGAACGACATCCTTATAGCAAATCCAAAGTGCTTCACACTTTTTTGCGTCAATAGGATGCGAACCTTGAATCCTCGGATACATAACCCGAGTACGCTATTCGTTAGGCCATATCCAGTCCAAGAATGGTTAAAGTTTGCGTCTTTCAAAGCGATTAAATATATCTTTTCATTCGCTTATTCTTAATTAATTTATTTTTGAAAAGTATTCATGTTAGAACAGTGAAAAATGTCTACACTAAACAAGTGGAACAGTAAATAACCTTCAAAATAAAGGTCAAAATATACAATTTTATTCTGGTGAGAAGTTAACCTTAATGACTTGCAACAAGCTATGAATATAAAGTTGAAATATGACTATCAAAAACTATATTTTTAGTGTCTAGTTCAACAAAACACTCATGTTAATATAAAAAAGTTAATATTTAACACACAATTTCAACATTGAATAGCTGAAAAAACAACAACAACATAAATGCACGTAACAAAATTTATTCGAAATTTAAGTTAAATCGAAAACGAATATATAAAGAAAGCATTTATATAAACATCTAAGCAACATCATTCAAATGTCTAATCGATCTTGCTTGGATTATAACTCCACTAACAAACCAACATACACAGCGTTGAGTACGTTATATTAAAACGACTTTGTAGCCTCACCACATTTTTACACTCCATGTCGCAACATCCAGCCATGCTTTATCTGATGACCGTACATTTTGACAATATGCCTGCAACGTAGTTTCCATTGCAAAAGGTTTCTTCGTAAGGCTTATATGTCCAAAGAACACCACTCATTCGTGTTAGAACGACTGTATTTCATCTTCCATTTCAACAGTCTGACCACATAGAAATCCATAAGCCAGTATGTCTTTGTATGGAATAGCATGAATACCCTTTTCATTATCCAGTTGCTTGTGGTATGCGACGGTAGAACAATAGCCATAACTAGAAACTTAATCTTGGCGAAACCGTACCCTGGCCTCGTTTCAAGGCAGAGATCTTTCTTGATTATGTTGCGCATTGTTACCTAGGTCAAGTTGATGACCTTTGTGTTCATGGATTCTCACATGTTATAAGACACAATACTTTGCTGGGGTATAGTTTGTTTTAAATTTTACTCCGGAAGGCCCTTGTATTCCAAGTTGATCAATATTCTTCTGTTTTCTAACGTCATTAAGTAAAAAAAACATCCCCGTCCTGGAAATTCTAAGTCTAAGATCTGAACACATCTTTATGATCTGAATGTAAAAATATAGTAGAGTAAAGACTTGACACATACCTTTCCCAAGAAAGACCAATATTCGGTAGCATCGCATTACCTATGTAACACCAAACATTGTCCAAATATAGTTCTGATACATTCCGTTCCACTGCGACTTTATATCGGTTGTGATTTTCAATCTCACTTTAATATAATGGACTCGATCCTGTATACGTTGAATAAGGTTCGATCTTAGACTTTCCGAACAAAAATATCAATTACTAAATCTACTGGTGATGCATTTTTAAAAAATGATTTTTCGCACAGCTAGGAAGAACAATATATTGAAAACTTCTTAAATTCATGTCACGTTTTTGTGTTTTAAGTAGTTCTAAGAATTATATGAAGTTAGAAATTTTTGAAAATATCATAAGCAAAATTTAATATTTTACCCACTTATATATCAGTTTACTTTCAACAAACGAATCTCAGATTTTTAATTTAACAATTGTTGAGTGAACCTGCACGGTGTATGCAACAATAATGATCGGTATAAATTAGCTTAGATGTCGAAGTTATGAATCTCAGATTTTTAATTTAACAATTGTTGAGTGAACCTGCATGGTGTATGCAACAATAATGATCGGTATAAGTTAGCTTAGATGTCGAAGTTATGAATCTCAGATTTTTAATTTAACAATTGTTGAGTGAACCTGCACGGTGTATGCAACAATAATGATCGGTATAAATTAGCTTAGATGTCGAAGTTATCTTTCTTTTACATTTTAATCTACATTTCGATAAAGCAGTTGCATTTTTGAACGTCGAATGCTGGCGATGCATTAGAAACCAATAGA